ACTCACCGTGTCGAGCTAATCTCACTGGTTAAGTAACATGTGGCCACAGAACTAAAAAGGTCTCATTATAAGCAAGTAATCTTTATTTATATACCACCTTTCACAGACCAGAGTCACAAAGCGGTTTACAATTGTTATTTTTGGGCATTTGTCCAATCACTCCACACAGAGATGGGAGCAGGGTTAGCCAGTACAGGAGGTGCGTGCCAGAACTACATGTTTTTAGTGGTAGGGGAACCGGAGTAGAACATGCAAACTTCACTCAGAAAGGCCCTGGTCCGACCGGCGAGAGTGCTATCCATTCAGCCACCGTGCCACCCACAATAATTATCAAGATTCTCAAATCATTAATGACAAAACAATGAATACAACGAGGATTTCTATCAGGGATGGCTTTGTGAGAAAAGGTGAAATAATCGTGCAGACTGTTTATTTCTATGGGATTATGTACTGTCATTTTATTCTACAGCGCTAAAAAAAGTGCAATCGATTTCAATGTTTTGGAACTCATTCAATACACATTTTTTAACAGATTGGTATTTTGTTATGAGTACCTCCTATACCTATTCTGTGCAGTGCAACAGCTAAAGGTTCCGATGTTGAGGGTGTGTTCTGGTGGCGGGTCAGTTTTTTAATTTGAGTTCATCTAAATCTCTGGAATTCACAACGATATAGTGTTCAATATTCCGTTTACATTGGACACATGTGACTTCACTCTGTTAAGGAGTCAACAAAAAAAACAAAATGAAATGTTTTAAATCAAACTGAGCGACATTTCAAGCCAACCAATAACATAATACATCATCACTATTTTGTATTGATTTTGCTTTGTGAGGCACTTGCTCACAAACCAACTGCTTTATTGATTGACTGACATCTATAGCAAGAAATAGACTTCACAAGGCTTCAGACCACTTCACAAAAAGCGAGTCACCATCGGGACATTTAGAAAACACCAAAAACACACTAACTAAACATTCATACTCAAACACAAACCCAGACTTGGATCAGCAAAACTTTTCATATGTAATGTCACGCCACAACCACTAGATGTCACTCTTCCCCCTTTAGAGAGTGGCTTCATGGAGAACAGCTTAAACATATCTGCGTGGCTCTTTTCAGTCTGCTCTCTTTGCCTGTCACATGAAAAGCAGAACACCTTCTATAATAAAAGGCGTAATGTCTGAGCAGCAAACTCAGAATGAAATGCTTTGACATCTCAGACACGAATGATGCGGACGGAGGGATTAGTGGTCACCTTGCCTCCTCTGACTGACAGCATGTGTGCACTTACATCGGTGTGTTTACTCAGATGCCAAGCCATTGCTCTTGTGTTAAGTGGTTTATTAAGGACAGAAGATCTCCATGACTCAAGAAATGTGACAAAATGGATAGCTGCCGAAAAACGTGTATTCCATGCAGAGTTGGTGCTAGCCTTTTTGGGGCCCTAGGCATAATTCAGCATGGGGACCCACCAGCCAATTCAACAAACCATGATTATTCAAGCAGAAGTACCACTCTGATAAATCGTTTTGCTTTTTAATTTAATTTTACAAATTTGACGTGACAGTGTGTGAGTGTGTGTAGGTGTGTGTATACTTATAATAATAAGTGGTTTGGGGTGGTCGTCGTGTCAGGTCTAATCCTAACAGTCGTATAATTTATGGTCGGATTAGATTGCACACTGGTCGGCTCTGTTCAATCGTAGGACAAGATGTGAGAAATCAGATGTAAGGGATTTATTCAGAAACATTTTAAAGATGGGATGCTTAACTTTGTACAACAGAAAGTGCCCTGTAAAACTGCAACATTATCTCTATTTTAGTAGAAAACATGCTATCTTGCATACTTATAAGTACGAGCCCAGTGAGTCGTTTTTTGCGCTGATAGATGATGCGTTTAAACCTAGTGATACACATCGAGCTACTTGAACTTGAAGGTACATAGAAAAAAAATAAAACAACATTTGAAAGTGAGTTACCACAGCTTTAATTCAGTCTAACAGCTGTTAAAACAAATATAAAAGGGAAGCTTGAATTTTTTCCATGGGTTAATACTTCTCTTTCTGGAAAATAGAATGTTCAATGGCGGATAGGTTTGAGTCAGTATGCCTCATTCTAAACAATGTGTGGGAGTGCCCATGTGTGTGCGAATGTGCATGCAGGGAACATCTCCCCAGCTGAGTGGCCGCGAGCACTTCCACTATTTGCACACAGATCAAAAGGCCATGTTATAAATAAAGAGCGCAGAACCCCACAGTTTTGGAAGTTCCAAAGCAGAGCAGAGTCCACAAACAAAGTATGATTATTTTTTAAACCTTATTTGTCCCAGCAACCTTCAGTTAAACCATTGGTGTCAAAGCGGTCGAAGGGCCAGTGTGGCTGCAGGGTTTCACTCCAACTAAGCAGGAGCACAACTGATTCTACCCATTTCCTTGAGTGAGTCCAGTCTTGACCATAACAGCTGTATATATTAACGGACGTAGTCACGCCTATCTTCGCCGCTCTAACTAATGGGCCAAAAATTGGGCTTTCCCGGAGTGATTCAAAATGGCCTCGGGGGCTGGAAAATGTGAAAAAACACATCTGTGCATGCGTCAGTCGGCACAAGCCCCATTCATTTAAACGAGTGACTTCAAAAATTCAAAGCCGGTAAACTAGACTGGTCCAAAAAAGTTCACCCCCCTCAGCATTGACACACATGTGGAACGGAGCTTTGGGCCAAGAGCCAACTTTTGGACGTGTTTTACACCTTTACAGGTAAGAAGATGCTATATGTTAGCATTCGCTCTTATTCCGGGTCCACCCCCATCAGCCCGGGGTGGTATAGCAAGCATGTCAGCACACGTCATTTTGGCCACTTTTGAGCCGGGACCCGCCCCCACTGGTCTTGACATGAAGACTTAAGGAAATGGGTGCTGTTATGACCAAAACAATCCACTGTAGTCACTTTGTCATCCTGTAGATACTGTTAGATGAATGCCCAGATATGATTTTGGTGATTTAAAAAGTAATGGTTCCACAACGTCCACAAAATGTATCCACTGAACGAATCATCAAAAATAAAATGAGTAAGACATCTAAATTAATAAATCTGTTTGCCTATGAACCCAGGCTAACTCCACTCTCCATGTGCGCCAGTGCACCTAAACCAAACCCTCCCACACCACATACATAAATTATTATAGCAATAAAGATAGTATAAATTAAACTTAGAAATATCCCAAATAATAGAACAATAGTAAATAACAAAAATCGGCCGCAACAGGTGAAGTCCGGGCACTGTCTCTTTCGGGGACCAATTTGACACCCTCAACAGTGGTTGGAAATGTCAAGTCATATTTATCTCGTGATAATATTCAGCACACATTTGTTTGTTTATTTATTGTGGTTCCGCTTTATCATAATGGCAATCAATCTGAGGTTATTCTCTCTGGGGCCTGTATCGTTAGTTGTTATGAATGTGTGATATTTTTTTCCAAATTGAACTGAAATGTTGCAAGTTTGTTGAGTTTGAGTTGAGTTGAGTTTTATTTGGACTCATTTTAAGTCTTCATTTAGAACAATGGAAAGAGTTTGAGCTGATTTAAGACCTGGTTTATCCACTATTTAAGCCAGGGGTGTCAAACTGGTTCCAGATCTGGCCCTTTCTGAAACCAGTTTGACACCCCTGATTAAAACCCACTGGTTTAAGCCCACTGGAATACTTGGAACCTGAATATAGATTTGTAGAGTTAAATGAGATTATCAAATGTAACGACACATTGTCGTTCATACCAAATGTACTAAAGTCTGTTTGATTTGCTCACAACCTTTTACTTTGGGCACAACCAAAATGAGCTGATAATGAAAGGGGAAAATTTACGTACCCCAGCTTTATTTTAGCGAGTTTAGTTTAGTTTAGTTTCAGGAGGTGACACGGACACTTCCGCGGTGTATTTGCGTGCACGGGTTACGCACAGGTTGCAAAGACACACTCACAACATTCAGAGAATAGTCCTGTGGCGTGTAGGGTCTAACCGCGGGTCCATTCGCCGAGTTGTGTGAGCCGTTAACAACAACCAGAGCGGCCGCAGCTGCCCCCGGGGTGTGCCCCGGGAGGCGGACTTCAGTTCATAGCAAACAACAGTCCCGCAGTCATGTGTGTATTCTTTTAAAACTTGGATTCCCAGAGGGCCTACCTGCTCTGTTGCTATCTCACACACACATGTGTCCATGAGAAATTTTAATTAACGTGAGTTAAAGCAATAATTTTGACAGCCCTAGTTTTTTGGATATAAAACCACCAAACACAAGAACAAATGTCCACTGTAGTCATCAAAGTCAGTTCACATCTTTGAAGATTTTTTCCGAACTTGGTCCAGTTTAAGGGAAACAACTGTACCATGAGCACATTCTGAGAAAAGGCCATTTTTAGGTTATGTTTAAACATTTGAAAAGTGTGTGCATGTTTCGTCCTTCCTAACTTACAAAGTCACTAGATTGGGTTTAGGTCCTCTCTCCATACCCAGACACACAACCAAACCTCTTCCCAACACACCATGAGGAGCATGTCACCACTAAACTCACGTTCCGTTTCCCCTGTAGTGCTATGCGGCTCTATTTAAATATGCGCTTAACAAACCCTATTACAGCGTTCAGGAAAGCTCTTCCGTACGAGGCTTTCATCTTCTCTCCGCACAAAAGTCAAGCTGTGAGGCCCTTCTTCACGCCGTCCTTCTAAGTACCCCCCCACACCCCCCCTGCCACCTAACCCCCGTATCCTTGAGCAAACGAACAGGCTCTATACATCCCATCTATACTGTCACTGTGTAAACTTTAATAATGAACAGAAGCCGTATTATATTTTCCGAAGCCCTATGACCTATCCTTTATTGCGTTCTAATGGCGGAGCTGAAAAGGCGTGCATGCAGGTATCCTCAGTGGAAATAGCGAAGTGGTCAAACGATATCTTTTATATTGGGTACAGTAATGAGAGGTGCCTCATAAAAGCCGTGTCAGTCACTGCGGCGGACACTCGAGAAAAAAAAAGGCACAAGTTCCACGAAAGCTGTACACCCATCGGCGCTACTGCTCTGAAACTCATTAGGCCAAACCAGATCAAAGAGGAGACATCATCCGGTCGTGTTTGTGCTATTTCTCATACTGTTAATTCAAAGGAAAACAGCAGTCGACTTTGATGGCGTACTGTAAATAGATGTGCCGATCTTTTCTTTTTTTTAGTATGTGACTAACTAAATGAAGGGCGTCTCTTCAAGGCTGCCTTCCACTGGTTAACTGACTTATTGAGAATTTTAAGATGTACGTTTGAAGAGGCTGCAAAGGAACAGTTGTAAATTGCGATGCTGAATTAAAGCACACATGCTCATGGAAAAAATCTTAGAGAAATAAAGGTTTTATTCTAAATGTTTACTTTTAGTGGGTTTTGACACGCTTCTTTCTGATCTCAAATGTATTGTACCAAAAATATGTTTTTTAGTAACTCTTTTTTCACAAGGGGATGCAAAAAAAATATCAACTCCCTATGTTGCCACCAAATGGAAGACATTTTTTGTTTTTTCCCCAAACTCCAAAATTACCCGGAAACTGAGCTTTTAGATAGAAGGGATGGAGTAACATGTTTGTGCGAGAAGTTATATCTGTGTGGATGGATCTACAAACAACTCTAGGTATGTTTTTGATGAAGGATTATTGTCGTAACACGGTTAAAAGCTTGGCCTTAAATGTCTCCTGTAAACCACAAACAACTTTTTTTCTAAAACAATAACCTGAATGCAATTATTGTAAGTGGATGTAACACTCTCCGCAGCAGCACACACCACCTGCCTCTCCACCTGCCTCTCCATCTCCCTCTCCACCTGCCTCTCCACCTCCCTCTCCACCTCCCTCTCCACCTGCCTCTCCACCTCCCTCTCCATCTCCCTCTCCACCTGCCTCTCCACCTCCCTCTCCACCTGCCTCTCCACCTGCCTCTCCACCTCCCTCTCCACCTGCCTCTCCACCTCCCTCTCCATCTCCCTCTCCACCTGCCTCTCCACCTCCCTCTCCACCTGCCTCTCCACCTGCCTCTCCACCTCCCTCTCCACCTCCCTCTCCACCTGCCTCTCCACCTGCCTCTCCACCTCCCTCTCCATCTCCCTCTCCACCTGCCTCTCCACCTCCCTCTCCACCTCCCTCTCCACCTGCCTCTCCACCTCCCTCTCCACCTCCCTCTCCACCTCCCTCTCCACCTGCCTCTCCATCTCCCTCTCCACCTGCCTCTCCACCTGCCTCTCCATCTCCTATTGTCCCGATACAAACCAATGTATAATATGAGATAATATGAGAAAACACAAAAAATTAAGTATCTTTAAAAAAATGTCAAAAAGTTAACTTTACTTGAATACTAGGTGTTAATTGGTGAATCAGTTAGCTCAGTAATCATGTTAATGAGAAAAATCAGCAAAGGTCACTCTTAATCAACGCACTGTGCACAATATTAAAACCGCAGCGCTGGTACAAAAAGGAGATTAATATTACATCTGTGCAAACTATTGAATTTGATCATGAGACTGTGTATATATAAGGTTAGCGAATATATTTGACATGAGCAGACTGTTAAACATGTACTATAATCAAGGTGTAAAAGCACCTTTTTGTGGAAAGATTTTCTCTTGATTTCATGCTAATTGTACAAATTTAATACATTTCGCTGCATAATGTTTGAGATTAGTTCCACCCGAAGTGACATATCCAGTGACAGGAATATTAAAAGAGGATAGTATCTCTTAATTAGATGTTTTATAGAACAGGCTATATTCAATTAAATGCATGTAAGAATGTACTGTTCATAGCTTTTGGGCAGGTATTTTAGCTCTTAGTAAACATAATTCAATTTATTTTTGTTATAATAATCCACATTCAGGATTAGGATTAGGCTCAATGTACATGCTCCACACAAATCATTTCCCACAGTGTTGTCTTGTAATCAGCCTGTTGTGCATGTAAGAATTGCATTGATCTTCTATTTACATTGAGTTCTATTTAAAAAAAAATGTTCTCAATATTGATCTAGAACAGGGTTATCAAACCAGTCAGGGGCCGAACATTCAACAAAAGAGCTGGTCAAAGGCTTTAAAGGTGCGTTTCTAATGCAAATGCATCGTGTGCGTTGTTGCGTCTTGGATGCATGTTCACTAAAAGATCTTCCAGAGACGTAATTTTATGAAAAAAAAAGACTCATGGTCCAGTGTGAAGACCTCTTTAGACTTTGGATGTGGTATGCATAGTTTTCTTAGTGGATTTTGATAACTTTGATTTAACACATGTCACTATCTCCAATTTTTCAGAAGAAAATACAGTATGTATGATATATACTTGGATTGGACAAAAAACTAAACAAAAATCCTAACAAACAAAAACTTGTCATACGTCAGTCTACATCAGGGGGCGACAGTAGTGCCGTTGGTAGAGCATTGTCCTATGAGCCTGAAGGTCATGGGTTTGATCCCTCCACAAGGTGACATATTGGAATAAACTTTTACGGACTTACAATGTTGTCCTCGTCACTCGCAGCATGTCTGAGGTTACACATTTTAGTAAGGAGAGCAACACGGTGAAGCAGACTTGAACAAGACCTTCCCGCTAAGCCCCAGAGATGAGAACCGATCTTGGGTGTGCTTTTGTGTTTTGATGGAGTATTAGGCCTGTTCAAAGGGTCTCAGCGTGGAACCCTTATTGTGGATCTATGGGACACGCCCTCCCAGAGCCAGCACAGCCTCCACCTCACTGTGTGCAGAAGCCAAAGAGAGAAGACTGGCTTGGGTTTTGCACTGATAACCGCTGTTGTTTTAATTAGCGCCACGTTTGACTTGGGAGAGTCGGGAATTACTGTCACCGTCAAGATGAACTGAAGCTATGGCTGCTGCAAATTTGCTGGGTTTATAGAGCAGTTAGAAGAGCGAAAGTAAAACAATGCATTATACTTATAGAAAAATATGTACAGTGTATGCAGTTGGTTGTTATTAAATTGCTGTTTGTGATTGCAGTTTTCTGTCTTTTCTGTCTCATCAGCTATACTTGCTCAGTGTCTCCAGTAATCATGTCACGTGGAGAAGTGAATGAGGAAGGACCCAAAATGTAGGAATGCCAAAATATAATTATTTTATGATAGTAAAATAAAAGTCCAGGTAAAACTCAAAATCCAAAGGCACAAAAATCAAGGAAACAGGAACAGACAAGGACAAGACGTTGACAATACAATAGACTAGCAACAAGAGGAGAGACGCACAGGTATAGACACAGACACAGGTGGAACACATCAGGGTGGGGCAGACAATCAAGACAGGGGAAAACAGGACAGGAAGTCAAACTAAAACCAAAGCACAGAACAGATATCAAAATAAAACTAAAGTCCAAAATAACAAAATCCACACCATGACAAATCATATGGACATATAGAGCTGTAACTGTTTTTGCTTTTCAATTAGTGAAGTTTTTGATCCCTATACTGTATGAATGGAGCTAGAAAGCCAACGTACAAACATATTTTGGACAATGCAAGGTCCAGATTATAATTATTAAATCCCAACAATCACTCTTTATGAATTCTATCAGATATAATTACTGATAGTTTTCGTGAGGTTAACTCGATCCATACACTTGCAGCTGCTCTCAGGCCTTCAATACAACTACAGCCTCATATTGTGACCACACAGTAGAAAAGTACATACATTAGTTTTCCTGGAGAAGTCTCAGCGTTTTAACCTCCAATAGCCTTTGCACATTGCTGTCGAATGTGTTACGAAAGGTGTATTCTTCATGTGTGGGAGCAGTCAGAGGAACTGTCCACCTGAAGTACATGAGTCTGGGATCTATTTCATAAACATCATGCTAACACTTCCAGCCTCCTCTGCAGCTCCGGTAAGTGCTGCTGCTGCTTATGCTGCTGCAGAGTCATGTGTGTTGAGCTGTGTGTTGTGATGTTGCAGCTGCGTGAGGACAGAGCCGGACCCTCCAGCGCAGGGACCTCCGCGCTGCCTCCACAGGTAAAGTTCACACAGTGCACTAAATCCAGAGGTGGAGACGCACATTTGCTGCAGAGAGAATCAATACACACACATTAAACATGAGGTCAGTGCAGAAAAAACCATCCGAGGATGGTCTGCACCAGGAACAGAGCCGCCTGCAGCCGCAAGGGACAGGCCCCAGAGGAGATGAAGCTGACGCTCCAAACCACCACCAATCCAACCCTGGAGATTCTAGTCTAGTTACAAGCACAAAATATTGTTTCACAAGTAGAAGAGTTTGTCTAGTTTTCTGTTTGTCTTTGTCACCAAACTTTCTTTTGCAGGCTCCCAGGAGGTCTGCTCGTCTGCACACGCCTCCTCCTGAGGCGTGTGCAGACGAGCAGACCTCCTCTTTACTGTGTGGAAAAACACAAGACTCATGTGTGTGTTCTGTTCTGACTGCAGCGCGTGGACCCTCCTCCTCTGGCTCCTCCTCTGGCTCCTCCTCTGGCTCCTCCTCTGGCTTGCCCTCTGGCTTGTTTGGCTCCTCGGGCTCCTCCTTGGACCCTCAGGGTCATCGTGGCCTGGTCAGTGTCCTCCTGACTATATGTACAGTAGATCTCTAATGTGTGTGTGTGCGTGTGACAGGACGAGCCAGTCTGGTGCTACCTCCAGGGCTCAGAGACGATGATGGTGACCCTCCCCTGGACGCCTGACTCCATTCTCCAGGAGATCGGGGAGACCCTGGCTTCCATCGACTACTTTGATGCCCCCTCCCTCATCACTACTGCCTACCAGTCAGTGTTGAGCAACGAGATGTAAGTGCCCCTCTGTGGGCCTCAACATTCTCACTCACTTTCTTTTCTCCACAGGGACAGGACAGGTAAGTATAGGTACCAGGTTTCAGGTGAGCATCACTCCTTTATTTATATGTGTTATGTCATGTTGTGTTTTTAGGTCTTTATCAGAAGAAATCGACATGGATTCAGTTCAGAAAGAAAATCACGTCTCATGTGTTTTGTGAAGCTATGTGTGAGATCATGTGTTTGTCGTGTTATTGACGACACACAGAGTCACTGCTCTGCACAGAGAGGACGAGTGGAAAGCAGAGACAGAGTGTTTCATGGACATGCGTTTGTGAGAATTGTCACAAAACTCTCTCACATATTGGACACAAACATGGGGCCCTTGTTGTGATGCTCTGTGTTTGTCCGGTGTGTTTCTGCAGCAAGCGCAGGACCCTGCCCCACTGGCACCTGGTGGTCCCAAAGGTCTCCCTTCACATTACTAACCAGGCCCTGCCCTGCATAGCTTCAGAGGTCTGATGAGATCTGACTTTCACATTCAGGTGTGTTTACAGCAGCATTCTGACTCTTCACCACAACACACTCATACAGCGACTGCACCTTCAGTACGTCACCACAGTCTTGTCACCTCCTCGGGACACCGTCTGATCAGGGCCCTGTACTGAATATAAATGTCACATGAAACATGATTCTTTTCTAGAATATTGAGACCTGAGCACCGGGCACAGAGACAGTCCTCCTCACTTCAGACTCAGGAGGAGCTCGTCTCCAACGTCCTCACTGTCTGTCCAAGGTATTTGGAATGTTCATTCTGAATATGAAACTAATGTCACATAAACATATGTTTATTATAAATGTTTAGTGTTTCACAAGTCAGAGAAGTGACTTCAAACTGCAAACAGAACTGCCTCTAATGAATTCTTAGTAACTAATAGTTCGTTTGATGCGCTCCAGTCCGGCTTTAGAGCCAATCACAGCACTGAGACTGCACTAGTGAAGGTTACAAATGACATCCGACTTAACACCGACACAGGAAAAGTCACAGTTTTAGTAATGTTGGATCTGAGTGCTGCGTTCGACACAGTCGACCACGAGATCCTCATGCAGAGACTAGAGCACTGGGTGGGTGTCACTGGGACTGCCCTAAGTTGGTTTAGGTCTTACCTAGAAGACAGGAAATACTTGGTTCAGATGGGAAGCTGTGTCTCAGATCATATGGCTCTGACCTGCGGAGTGCCACAGGGATCAATTCTGGGGCCTCTTCTGTTCAATATTTACATGCTGCCGTTAGGTCAGTTAATACGCTCCAACAATGTATCCTACCACAATTACGCTGATGACACTCAAATTTATGTCTCACTTACTGCAGGAGAACATGGACCAGTGGAATCACTCCTTCACTGTACTCAACAGATTAGTGATTGGATGCAAAATAACTTCCTTCAGCTAAACGCAGACAAAACAGAATTGATTGTCTTTGGTCCTCAGAAACAAAGAGAGAGCGTTATTCGTCACCTCCAGTCTCTCTCCCTGGAACCTGTAGGCAAGGTCAGAAACCTAGGAGTTATAATGGACTCAGACTTAAATTTTAACAGTCATATCAAATCAGTAACATCAGCAGCATTTTACCATCTGAAAAACATTGCCAAAATTAGAAACATAGTGTCTAAATCAGATCTGGAGATTCTCATCCATGCATTTGTCTCCAGTAGGTTAGACTACTGCAATGGCCTGCTCACAGGTCTCTCCAAACAGGCTGTAAAACAACTGCAGTATGTCCAAAATGCTGCAGCTCGAGTCCTGACCAGGACCAGGAAATATGACCACATTAGTCCAGTTCTCAGGTCTCTGCACTGGCTTCCTGTGGCTCAGAGAATAGACTTCAAAGCAGCACTGCTTGTGTACAAGTCTCTCCATGGCCTCGCACCAGGGTACTTAAGCGACTTGTTAGTCCCATATGAACCGGCCCGGACTCTGAGGAGCACAGGAGGTAGCCTCTTACTGGTTCCAAGAGTCAGAACTAAACATGGGGAGGCAGCGTTTGAGATTTATGGAGCTAAAATCTGGAACAATCTTCCTGAAGATGTGAGGCTAGCATCTACTCTGGCAATTTTTAAATCAGGGCTAAAAACTGTTCTTTTTAGCTGTGCATACGGCTGAAGGATTTTATTGATACATACTCTTTTTTTTTTTTTTTAATGCATTGTGGTTATTTATTATTTTAATCCCGTGTGTGCTTTTAATATTTTTTTTTTTTTTTTTTTTTTTTTTTTTTTTCATTACTTGTGATTTTATTCTGTTTTTAATGTATTTATTGATGTCTCTGATTTGTGTGATATTATGTGGGTTGTGAGGCGCTTTGAGTGGCCTTGTGTTGGAAAGGCGCCATACAAATAAAGTTGATTGATTGATTGATAATGATAAAGAACATTTTCTGATTCTGATGCAGATAGTCCACGTCGGTGAGTCCATGGTTGTTCTTCACTGTCCTGTGACTCTTTGTTATGTTTGTGACACTTGTTTCCTTGTAGAATAAGCTGCGACCTGATGAATCTCTGTTCTCACTCAGATACAGAAAAACTACAGCAAGACTTTAGACAGACTACTGGAAACCAGTACATTCCAGAGATTCACTATTCTGCAATGGAGCATAGATGAACATGAAGGACCATAGAGGACCATGAGGAATCCATGGAGGACCATGGTGGACTATGAGGACTATGGAGGTCCACGGAGTACCATAGAGGACCATGAGGGCACTGGCTCCAGGTGAATGTCCAGAAGCCTGAGGACCTGTGTGCACACAGCCCCACAGATCTGCTCTTTGGTCCAGCTCCATGTGAGGAGGAGGTGCAGCAGAGGAGGAGGTGCAGCAGAGGAGGAGGTGCAGCAGAGGAGGAGGTGGGTAAAATATGTAAAACAAACATTTGTCCTCGTGTTGTTCTTTACTTCCTGCTGCCGACCACCTCAGGCTCATGGACCAACGTGACTTTCCCTTTTATATTCAGCACCATTTCTGTACTAATGGACAAATACATCTATAATTTGCACAAATGTTTCTTTTCTTTGCATTTATTTCTTATTTCCTCAAACTGTTTTTCTTTGTTCTGGGAATTCTGATTATTTTGTATTTTCATAAATATAAATATATCAAAAAGAAGTCAATACATTATAATGCAAATTAATAAATAATAATTCTCATGAGAATTCTCAAGCAACAACTGAATCTTAAAAAATCTACAAAATAATGTCAAAATTGGTGTTCACTCAATATGTTCACTACTTTGAGATACACGTATTTTCAGGCTTCTGCTCTCAGCTGTGTTGTTGGTGCAGATGAGTGCGGTGGCCCCAATGGGACAAAACACGCACAGAACAGTTCAATACAGACGGCAGGTGAATTTAAATAACCGTCTCGGCGGTGGTTGTAAAAAATTCAATAGTGGAGCAGGGTCACAAATCTCTTACTAAGCCTTGTGACCACTTTGTTGTTTATTTATACCAAAGTCTGGCCAAGTTAAACCACACCAACAGCCCTTACATGTCGATCGCTTTCATGTTCCAAGACCCGACTCAAAAGACATTTTTTATATCCACTCGCGGCGCTTCAGAGGGAATACAATTTATTGATTTGCTGTCAGGCTTGGATCAACACGGGCCTATGAGGACGCTCGCTACACAACAACACTAGCATCGGTGCACAAATAAAGCAGCAGATGATGATGTGCACCGCTAAAAACACAGAATTTAACCCGGCGCTGTGTGCAGTCTGGTCTGAAGAAGTAGTAGTTCTGTGCAAATACACTGTGGCAGAGTAACTACAGTCAGCTCACATACGGATGTAGCTGAGGAAATGAAAATATTAATAACCGGTTTTATAGAGCGCTTTTTAGGACGCTCAAAGTCGCTTCAAATACACAGTGATGATAAACTACCACTGTAGCCACAGCTGCCCTGGGACACACTGACAGAAGCGAGGCAACCAGTATGTGCCAAGCACCACCAGCCATTTACACACAAACCAGACTCATTCTAGGCAAGGTGGGTGAAGTGTCTTGCCTAAGGACACAACAACAGTTTGGCACTTTACAGCCGCCACCCCACTGTGACACCTGGTGTTCCCAGAGGTCTCCCATCATAGTACTAACCAGGACCTGCCCTGTTTAGGTGCAGAGGTTTGACAGGATCTGGTATGGCCATACTGTATGTGTAACTCTGGAAAATAGAACATTGTTCAATCGTGTTATATCACAAATTTCTTTGTTATAATATGGATCATCATGGGTGACCGCTTGTAAAAAACTCTACTAATACATCTACAATAATGTGAATATTTTGAACATGGACTGTGAGCCATCCATCCATAAATTTTCTACCCCTTACAGCTGCACTAACTCACTTTGTGAGCGCTGGCCTCACTCTTCTGCTTGCCCTCACCGCACTCACAGAGCTGTCGCCCCCCACAAATTCTGTGTGTCACAAAAAGTGTGCCGGAGCTTCAGAATAACAAAAAAAAACACACAGTAGATTTGAATGAATTATATGACACAAAATTAAGCATGTGGCTATACGATCCTACATCATGTCTGAAGCAATTGCAGTGAGCGCATATCTTTAAAATTCAAACAATTTTTTTTTTTCGTCCAATAAAAATGCAAGCAGCAGAAGTGGACTTTACAACCGTGGACAGCAACCCCTCACTTTTAAGCAAGAGCCTGTTTTGAACTTTTGCACAGTTGGTTTCAAGTCGGTGTCTCTGTTGACGCGTAGAATGGCACTCGACGTTCAAGGACATGGAAAAATGTGCTCAGGAAGAAATGTTGTCCAAATCTACGACACTTAAAATGTTTGAATGGAGAGAAACAAATCATTGCAAAGTGAGAATTGTGTTATGGTCGGTGTTAAAGCATAGAATAGAATTGTAACGTTTATAGAGTATTATATAAAGTGGTTTTCTTCATGTTTATTTTTTGGGGAGGGGGTGGAAAACGCTTACGTTTTACAAAAGTGTATGTATTTTGATAAAGACGCTATGTAACGCACTATATCAGTAATGAATGCTGAGGCGCAAATTCAGACTGAAAGACCGACCACAGCTCTCACCCGTCCAGGCCCAGCCAATCACACAGCTCTGCCAGCCTTGAGTCTCTGGCAATCACACAGCCCGGCCAACCTTTTGCCTACCCACTGACAGCAAAGCGGGCAGCGCTTCCTGAGGCTCTTAACACACCGCTCTGGCTCCTGCTCTGGCTCCTGCTACGCCTATGCCTACGCCCATTCACACCATGCTTTTAGCCACCACCAGTGATTGACCTCGGGGGATCTGAGATCATCTACAGCAGCAAATGATCTCCCCTCTGCAAGTGTCACTGCCGAGGTCAATGCGCCAAACAAATAATAATGCATCGGTTTTATATAGCGCTTTTTTGGACACTCAAAGACGCTTTACATGTCATTATTCATTCACTCTATACACGTTGGTGATAAACTACTACTGTAGCCACAGCTGCCCTGGGGCACACTGACAGAAGCGAGGCAACCAGTCTGTGCCATCGGCCCCTTCAACCACCACCAACCATTCACACACACACCAGACTCATTCTAGGCAATGGGGGTGAAGTGTCTTGCCTAAGGACACAACAGCAGTT